ATCATGTGATTAACATAAGGAAATTTTAATGTGCTGATGAACAAAATATTGAACTCTTTTTTAGTCAATGGTGGATGTACTTGAGAAGCAATGTCTTTCCATCGTTGTGAATATTGTCGAAAGCTTTCATTGCACTTCATATTCATGCTTTGCAACATTGTTCGATCAGGGACCATATCAGTCATGTGCTTGTATTGACCCAAAAAATCTTGAGCTAAATCCCTCCAAGAACGTATTTGAGTACGTTTTAGCTGATTATACCATCTGGATGCAGACCCAGATAAACTGTCTTGGAAACAGTGGATCAACAACTTTTCATTCTCTACATAGCCAGTCATATGATGACAATACATAGTGATATGATATGAAGGGCATGTGGTTCCATTATACTTCTCAAAATCTGGAACCTTGAACTTTGGTGGAATAACCAGGCCAGGGACCAAACTTAGTTCTTTGGCATCAAACCCATAAAATGACTCAACTGTCTCTATAGATTTTATCACATCTTCTATATTTTCCAGTCGTTGAGTGAATTTTTCCTTCTCAACTGATTTGTTTAGGTCAAGGACCTCATTACTAATACAAAATTCATCAGGCTTCAACTCAGAAGTAGTAGAACAATCAGTGGGGAATGATGCTCTAGCTTGATATGGTGAGTTCTTAACAGCGAAGTAAATCGGTGATTGAATTTCCTGGGGTACAGAGGTGAACTCAGGAATGTGAACAGGTGTAACACCCAAAGAATTTATGGGGTTTTCAACAAGACTCTTTCCAGCTGTCTGGTGCTTCTCAATCATTTCTTTCATATTGTTCAGTAGATCGATATGAGAATTTGTGATATTAGCTTTAATTTGTGCCAACTTGATCCTCAATTCCTCTTGTATTTCTTTCTGCTCTATCTCAAATTTGGCTAGCCTATCTTCAGTTTCTTTATACATTTTTCTTGTGTCGTGCTGAGCGTTCTTGCTTCAAGGAAAAACCAAGATCACTTCGTTTGAAATCCTTATTTTAATGAATGAATGTTTTAATGTATTATGACATAAAAAAATGCAAAGATGCCAAATGTAAATATGCAAATGTAAAAATGTAAATGTAAATTATTTAATACAAAAGCAAACAACAAATGCAAAATGAAAATACAAAAATACAAATGCATGTATGAAAAGGTGTTACTCAAGAGTGATTATCTTAGAACAGATTTCATTGATCGCAAAAGTTTCGGTACATCAAACAAAACTTTACATATAGGGATATATTTCATTCCTAACTTCTCCAAAGCCAAATTAGTCTATCAGCTTAAGGGACATATTGCTTGTCTGGACTGCAACTTCTTCCATGACATTCTCCTTCATCTTCTGTGTCACTTCTCGGAGTTGCTCATTTTCCCTTGTAAGAGAACCTTTCTGTCCAAGAAGTTCTTGAACAAGATCTTCATATATGTTGCAGTTCTTTTTCAGCTTGGTGACCCCTGTGATCCAATCTTCTGGGGTGTTTCCTATGCCAGCATTTTGAAAGGCTTGACTAATCTTCTGGAAATCTTCATGCATGGCTTCCATTTCTGTGCTCAATTTCTTGTTTTGGTCGTTCAAGTCCTTCAAATAACATGCTTGAGCTTCATAAAAACCTCCTCCACTCTGAATGCCCTGACTGATGCTCTTACCATAGACTGCTTTTGGTATCAATCTGGCAGAATCTTTGTGGAGTACTTTTGGTATTAATATAACATGATCTCTGTGTGCATTGCTAATTTCTATCTTCAGAGTTTCTTCAGGATGTCTTTCCTTGGCCGCATCATATTTTGTTTGATCATAAAACTTTTTGTCCATTTACGATTTCTTTCCAATTTGATGAACAGTCTTTCAAGTCAACACCTTTTGATTATGCCATGATCATGCAATGCAAATAAAAGAAATCAAATATAAACAAGTTTAAAGCAAACAATATGTATGAAAAAAATGAGAAGTGAAAAAAAGAAATTGGTTAGTACCAATTAATGGAAAGAAAAGATCCTATTTATCAAAGTATAAATCCTAACCTCATGCTTTCTAGTTCCATGCTTTGTTTGGAAAAATTAACCTAACTACATGATTTTTAGTTCGCAGGCATTTATTCAGAAAAAATAAATAAATAATGAATAAATTAAAAGCTAGAACTTATTTCTCCTTTGTGTACACCTACGGACAGAGGTTCAATACTGTCTTAGATCAGGTGAAGTGCTAGGGTTTATTATATGCAGGGTTTCAGTTCTAGGAGTAAAGGTACCCGAATTGTCCTTGTTGATGCCCCTTGGGCTGTCAACCCTCAATCCTAGTCCATTACAGACCTAAACAGATCGAGTTCAATTCGAGGGGACACATTTCTCTATGCCTGACACGGAGAATAAATTCTCATGAAGACATAGAGCATATGAACCCCGAAAGTTACTTGCTAGGTCTGACACGGAGAATAAATTCTCACGAAGACGTCGCTTTCACTCCCACCTAAAAGGGACAAAACTCAATTATAGAGCTTTATGTTATGCAATGCACGTATTGTGTGTGAGGAGAAATGTTCAAACCTCTGACAAACAAATAAATAATGAAAATAAAATACTTGAAAATAAAATAAAAAAATTAAAAAATAATATACATATAAATATTATGAAAATAATAAGTATATATAAAAATTTTGAAAAAGAAAGAATTATAAATTAAATATATGAATTTTTAATTTATAATTAATAGAGACAATTTATAATTGATTTTAAAGTTTAACCAGTCCCCAGCGGAGTCGCCAAGCTGTCGTAACCGGTTTTCGTCCGGGCACAAATTTTTTACTTGGCGGGAAAAGTGATGTGAATAAATGGTTTTTAAAATAATTTGGGAGTCGCCATCGGCCTTTTGGGTCAGGTAGGTCGAATACCTAAAAATCATCCTTTAAAAGAGTTTTTAAGAAAACATCGATTAAAAGATAAACTGATCTGCGTTTTAACCAAAAATTCGTTCTTTTTAATAATAAAAAGGGATTCGTGGTCGGTTACGTTTAGGGAAGGATTAGCACCCCTACAACGCCCAAAATTGGTACTTTTTAATTATAAATTGTCTCTATTATTAGAAATTAAAAATTCAAAGATATATTTAATTTATAATCTTTTTTTATTTCAAATTTATGATTTTATGAAATTATATTAATATAAATAAGATATTTATTTATTTAGAAATATCAGAAAATGACTTCTAGGTGCTTTAAGACAGCTCTTTTCTTTGATATAAAAATAAATAAAACATTTATTAAAAGTTAATATAGGATTTATAAAAATAGGATATTTAGTAAAAATATCAGAAAACGGACTTCTAGGTGTTTTAAGACAGTCTTTTTCTTAATATTGAAAAATAAATATATATTAAAATATGATTATTAAAAGTAATTTATGAAATATAGGATTTTAATAGAAAACAAATAGTATAAATAAACAAATATTATTATATATATATATTTATTTATATAAATAATAATAATAATAATAATGAAATAATAATTAAAGCAATAATAATAATAAAATAATATTGCAAATAATGATTAAAATAAAAGGAATTAAAAATATAGTATTAAAATGTAAAATATTAAAAATAAATAGTCAAAAATGAAAATTTAATGATTAAAATGTAAAATTATAAAACTAGAGTCCTAATTCGAAATATATAAAAGGTGGGCATTAAAAGTGTAATTTAACCATAATTCATAATACGGGATTAAAATAATAATTATTAAACTATGAGGGACTAAATTTGATATTTACCTAAATATATATATATATGCTGATAAGGACTAAATTAAAATAAAATAAAATTAGAAGACTAAATTAAAATAATCAAAAATTGCTTTCAGTGACTAAATTGCAAGGTATACAAACTTGGAGCACTGCGGACGGGGTTTACCCTTTATGAAATTACAGAAATACCCTCCCCAAAACGGCGTCGTTTGAGAAAGGGTATTTAAATACCCTAAACGGCTGGCCCTTCGGGCCAGCATCCTCATTTCCTATTTCTCTCTTCTGTCTTTAACTGAGAGAGAATTTTTAACTCTCTCGCCTCTCTCTAAAACTGAGAGAGAGACCACCGGCCGGCAGCCGTGCTCCGGCGTCGGCAACCACCGCCGACCACCGCTGCCGGTGGCCGAAAAATTTCAAAATTCCCAAGATAAAGATCAGAACGTCCTAAAGACGAATCCGGTGTCCTTTTTCTCTAAAAAGCCTTGTAGTTACCTAGATCTACAAAAATACTCTCGGTATTTCAATTTCTTTTGCGGCGTGTGGAGGTTCTGACGACGGCGTAGCTTCCTCGGTGGTAAGTTTTCTTCCTCTATTCTCTCTTTGCTTTTTGATTTGTTGCTATGGGTTTTGTTTGACTTGTTGTTGTGGTCTTTTCGGGTTCTTGCTCTCGTTTCTGTTATCTCCGGTTCTTCCTCTCTGTTCCTTTATTTTGCAGGTGTGGTTAGGAAGCTTTCGGTGAGTCACCATAACTATGGTGGTGACTCACCATAGGCAACAACGTGGACGATCAGAGTCGTGGCAGCAGAGCTTCTAGAGGCTTCGGCGGCGAGGTGGCGTAGTATTGGAGTGTCGGCAGCTGGACGTTGGACCACCTGGCAGAGGCGACGGCTGGTCTTCAGGAATCTTGGAGGCGGCGGCAGCAGTGCTAGGGTTTAGAAACCCTAGCTAAAACCCTAAATGTTTAGGGTTTTATTTTGGTCTAGGCCGGTTCTGGTTGGGCCTGGTTGTAATCGGGCCAGAGTTGGGCCTCCGGGCCTGAAGTGTAATAAAATAATAATATTAATAATAAAAATAATAATAATAGTAATAGTAATAAAAATAAAAATAATAAATATAATAATAAAAAACCAAATGTAAAAAAACTAGTGTATTCAATTTGGACTTGTATAATGCCTCTGTTTCAATCTGCCTGCACCTGTGCTTTTGTGTACTTGGTCATTTCTAACCGGTAGTTTCGTCTTTTATTGTAGTTATGTAGCTCCTGAATATGCTAGCACTGGTATGCTGAATGAAAGAAGTGATATGTATAGCTTTGGGATTCTTATTATGGAAATAATTACCGGGAGGAATCCGGCTGATTATAGCCGGCCTCCAGAAGAGGTTCGTACCACATATCTAATCCAATAAAATTTTGTTGGTTGTATATGCAAAAAGATTATTCCTTGTTGCTCTCTGGTGTTGCTTTTTGAGTAAAAGTCTAGATATTTCCAGGTGAACTTAATTGAATGGCTTAAGAAGATGGTTGCTAACAGGAATCCAGAGGGAGTGTATTGGATCCCAAGCTACCTGAAAAAACCTACTTCAAGAGCATTGAAGCGAGCTCTACTTGTAGCTTTAAGATGTGTAGACTCAAATCCGCAAAAGCGACCAAATATGGCACATGTCATACACATGCTTGAAGCTGAAGAATCCCCCTCCAAAGATGTAAGTACACAACTCCGCTTGTAACTTCTCTAAAAATTGCAATGCAAGTCGTGTAGTGCTTGATAATACAAACATCAGATGTGATTGCAGAATCCACATGAAACCAGCTTCATGAGTACAGAATGCATGTGTAGCAAACTGTTACTCTTGTTTCGTTGCTATGAATATTATTTATAGTGCATAGATTTTAGAATTTTCCTCATCATGCAAATTGATATATCTGGTTTATGTTCTTGAACTTTAATACATTTTTTCATGGTGTTCAAAACCGTGTCCATTAGAAGTAGAGGAAACCGAAGTTTTAATTTTGACGCTAGAGGAATCCCTTTTGATTCATTGGTCTAAGCAATTTTTTTCAGGATAATACTAGAGCCGGAAGGGATGCAGGACACTACATTGTGACAGCACTAAGAATGAATCGGCAGAGAAAATGGTGGCAGACTCGGATCACCATGAAGTTGCAGTACATGCTGATGGTGCATAATCATGCTTTCGTGATACCATGAATGCGAAGAAGAAAAGCATCGGCTATAATCCGAAGTTGTTTGAGGTGAATTGCACATTCTTGGTTTCTTGTTTAACATCTTGGAATGCCAATTACATGATCCCTTTCGTTATTTTTCGATGTTTATTGCCGTGTCAATGGCTTCTACTAGATATCTGATGTAACTTCTAAAGCATGTACAGAATGATCGATTTGTTTTATAGGTGGGACAGTGAACTTTAAGTTTAATCATGTGATTCAGAATCAAATTGTCACTGAACAATTGGATCCTCAACTATACAAATTAAATTCTGGATGATGAGCCCATTTATGAACTATGAAACTACGCTTGGCCATTGAGTTGCAGTAGTTGGATGGTCTTATCGTTAATACATATTAAGGTCCCAACATCAATCTTCATAAACACATAAAACTGTAGTTGATAGCCAGACCTTCGATTAGACCTTTCAATCCATCTAACTTATGTTGCATTTATGTTATTTTCTGTGACGTTAACGCGTTTAAGATAATTATTTATTTGGGTAAATTATGTTATTGCCCGTTATTGGTCATATTTCGCCGCAAAATTTATATCAAAATTGTCGTAGTCCACTCCTCTTTTTTCTTCTATGAAAATCCATGAAAACCTATTGAAAAGTTTGACGTATTAATACTCTGATATTTTTCAATGACCATTTGATGAGCCTAGTTTTGAATATGTTGTTCGTCTTCTTGAAATGTTGTTTTTTATCGTTTAGATTTTCGAACAAACACCCAAAATCTTGTAAATCTAAGAAAGCCTCCAAACATCTAAAAAATGTTAGATTTATTTAATTTAATTTCATTGATTTTGAGTGTGTTTCGTGGAATAATAAACATATGAAAAGAATGAGGAGTGAAATGCAAACATTTTGGTATCGATTTGTCGTGAAAGATTATCGATAACGGGCGGTGATTGGCTATCGACTGAAAAGTATAGTGCCAAAAAAGTAAATTGTTGAAAAGTTTAGTGACAAAATTAATACACCCCTAAAGTTCAGTGTCTAAAATGACGTCATTTTAGGCATTAGAACAACTGCATCAAAATGACATCGTTTTGGTATGTTATTCAACGTCTGCATCCGTTAGCCATATCAATTTCCCATTATTAACTTAACGACAGAGTGACATAATTGAATGTAAAACTAAAGTTTATTCTTATAATTGACAAAATTAAAAGTTCAGTGGTATAAACGAGTTAGCAGACAAAGTTCAGTGGTATAAACAAGTTAGCAGACAAAGTTCAGTAGTATCTAAAGTAGTTTTCCCTATTTTCTAACCGTAGGTGACCAAAACTGAACCAAAACCTAATATTATGCGTAATTTAAAAAAAAATTGGGAGAACAAAACGGAACTATGAAAATAGGTGATAACTAAATACATAGTTTATCCTATATATTTTTATTTATTTTCTGCCAATATAGCCTGTAGACCATAATCCCCTACATCTTTTGGTCACTTTGTTGTGGTTGAAGTAGTATAATTTTTTAGTTGAGAGGTCAAACAAAGTAAATATCAATGTCAAATGAATATTATTCTACATAATAAATAAAAAGCATTAGTACATCAACAATTGCTCTTGCAAATTAAACAGAACAACTTGAGGAAATCGAGGAGTTGCTCTGTACAATGACAGTCGTGTGACTTGAATCTTCGAATCTAAGAATGAAATATAAACAGGCAAACTTGTGGTTTACCATATATCTGTAACAAGAGGATTTTAGTCAAAATTATGGCCAACAACCACCGCAATGGGACAGGTCTGGCATGCATATTAGCAAAGTTGGAGTTGAACAGTGGAGAATTTTCTGTGGTCTTTGGAGCAGCGGCAGCAGGCGGAGGCGGCAACATTGGCAGGACTTTGCAGGTGCCAGATGTAGCATTGGCCTGCCAAATGCAACTATCAACTGTTAAAGTGCAAGATATTGAGAGTCAATGGAGCAAAGAGGGAATTGGGAAACATCAGTTGCATATGAAATGTTTACAGATCTTGCAATAGGCTATACATCCACATGTGAGATGACCATTGGCGACATCAATAGTATATGGTTGTATGAGATTCAATTTCACAGTTGAAGAACCTGGTGAAAATCAACAACAATGAAGTTCGGCCAGAAATCTCCAGCGGCTTTATGGTAAGTGTTGAGCATCTTAACAAGTGGAGCTGAATTTTCTGTGCAAGCTACGACTCATTCGAATTGGTCGAAAAATAGTTATGGATAGCCAATGATCTTAATTTCATATTTATAGGAGATGATTCGTCACGGTTTGGAAAGGAACTATCTTTCATCCCATCATCTCCATCTGCAATTTCAGATCAAAACAGCCTTTTACATCCAAAGACAATCTAAAGTTTGCTTCTAGGTTCCACCAGATACACATACAGATAGGGTTAAAAAGAGCAATGATAAGCACTTGTAATATTACCTCATCACAAAAGAAAACTAAAGAAGCCGCCGCATAAGAGAGAATAGCAGCCATGAGATTATAAACTATATATTCGAATTGAATCCTTATTAGTGGGATATCATCGGTGCTTATTAAGATGTATAATAAAAATTACAATATGACATGACACATGCTAAGTTTATAATCTCATTGCTCTTTAAACTTTTAGATGAAGAAAAACTATAAAATCTTGCACAGTCGACAAACTAATAGAGAAACCCGAATTCGTAAAAGCCAAAATCAAAAAGCATTAAAAGTCAAGGAACCTGGGTGACCATGGTGTACAGGGGATTCTATTAGCCCAAACTTCCCCATACCTCTTTCGAAATAAACAGGGCCGGCCCAATACATGTGTCAGATGGACTTTAACCCAGGACAACATGTTTGAGGGGGGCATTTTCTGCTCTTTGACCTTTTCCAGCTTTGGAACTTGGTTTATGCGTGTTTGGACATCATGTCCCTAGTTAAGATCAAATTCTGGATTTTGTTATCAGGCTGACTTTTATTTTTGGGTTTTATGAAATGAAACTCTTTAGCCCTTATTTCGTAAATTGTTAAAATATATTCTTAATATTTTTTCATCATCTTTTCCTCCCAGTAACTTTACTTAAAAGTATTCATAATATTTAAAACTGTTTGTTATCGGGCAGTTGACTCAAATGATCCATTGATGAATCTTTGGCCCATGATTTGAAGCCTTGAACTGAAACTATCTGTTGCGGTTCTGATATGTGATAATCATGGTGTTGTTTACTTTCCTTTTTTATCTTAATGAACTACACTTGTTTAATTATTTATTCACTGTATATATTTGGAAGCTATATTACATGCATTATTCACTTTTGCTATAGTGTTTGTGTTTGGCTTTGAGTTTATAGGGATATGGTGCTTAGATCCTTAAAAAAAGTAAAACAAATGCCTATAAAACATGGCATGTTTGTTAGAATAGATGCACAATTGCATGTAAGTCTCAAAGTTCATAATTAATTGTAAATGATTAATATTAAGTTATGTTGTTTCCCTGTTCTTTATTCTAAGGTAGACTCTGATGCATTCATCTTTTCAACGCTTGTTAGTTTGTTGATGATTTCTAAAACATAATGGATGTTGATGCAGCTTCTTTCAAAACAACTGGAGCCTCTAACTGAGCAGCTGTTTATGAATATCCAAAAGTTGCAGCAGTCATCCCAACAGGCTGAAGATTCTTTGTCACAAGGAATGGAAGCATTGCAACAATCTTTGGCTGAGACTTTGACCAACGGTTCACCTCCTGGTCCCTCGGGATCATCTGGAAATGTGGCAAACTACATGGGTCAAATGGCCATGGCAATGGGACAGCTAGGAAGGGTTCCTTCTTCAGGTACTTTCGTTATGTGTGCGGTTGTAGACACCCGTTTTTGTCCGAGTTAAAAAAATATTATTAAATTATTATTATTATTAAGTGTGTTTATATTTTTGTGCAGGTCAAATGTGACCCAATTATAAGCTACAACCCAGTTCAAGCCCAAGAACCGGATCCACTCAGTAATCCATCAGCAGCAGACCAACTCCCAGACATGAGCTGAGCCATCGATGAGCCATGGCCGAGCCATTGAGCCAACACTGACGCATTGATTTGCACAAATCATCTACAATGATAGATTACCTGCTTCAATCAGTTAAAGTCAAGCAAATTAATGATTTCACCTAAATTAGTCAGTATCTTACCAAATACGAAGAAAATCAAGATGCAACCATGAAGATTTGGTGAGAATATCAAGCATAAATTAAAGGGTGTTTGAACAGATTGAGGGGAGGAGAAAAAAATACGAACATAAGGGGGAAAAAGGATTGTAACATGGGGTTGGCTTCTACTTTCTAGCTATTTTTTTTATTCGAAAGCAATGTAATATTGGGAGTTCTTCACTCATTTTCGCAGGAAATACAAAAAAACAAAAGGTCTTTCGATTTATTTTACTAGTGTGAATGGTATTTGTGTTTTGTTTTGGTTTCTTTTCATTTTTTACATCAATAAAAATAGAAATAAGAAATAAAGAGAGGCTTAATTGTTACCTTGATCGGTTGAATCATATGGCGGTCGGCGTTGAGAGCTTCGGAACTCTCGGGAGTGAAATGAAAGGAAAGAAAAGAGGAGAAGTCATGAGTATGAGATGGGAAGAAGAGAGACACGGCTTAGGGTTAGAATACACTTACAATTAGGTTTAGTGTTTAGTTAGAATATATATAAAGATATTTGGGTTAATTATTGTTTAGCCACCGAATTTTAGAGAGAAAATTAGCTTTTAGTCACTCAAAGTTAAGTGTTTTTAAAACGGCTATCTATAGGGTATGATTTTTAATTTAGCCTTTTATGTTTGTCTTGATTTAGATTAACTATAATTTTTAGGGTTATTTGATATTCGGGTCATTGTATATTTCTTTGTAATTTATTTAGGTCATCAAGTCAATGTTTGTGTGTTTATAATTTTGTCTCATTAGTTTATATACGTTTAATTATGGTCCCAAGTTAATGTATATAATTTTTACTGAATTTAGACATTTAACTTTTAAATTTCTGCATGTTACATTTTTGTCTTGAGAGTGTTTATGTTTATTATATTTTTTCATTTATTTTTTTGGGTAAATTATCATTATATTTAATTTTTTTTATTATGAATAGTTTTTATTTCAACTCATCACATTTGTAGATAGATATTTTGAGTTTGAATTTATATTTCATTTTATTACCAATTAAATAAAAGGATCATATTTTATGATTATTTTATATAAACATTTTTATCCTATAAATATAAATAAAGTAGCTATAAAACTTGTCGGCACTTGCCTACAATTTTTGTTACTCCTTTTCAGTTCCATTGTGGACTTATTTAAATTACATTTCATGAAGCAGAAAGATCAAAGCAAAATCTTGAATAGTGTGTGAAAATAATGGTGGGTTCCATGAATTATTTGTAGTTTGTTTGCATATTAGTGTTTTATTGTTTAATATTTCCTACTTTTTTTGTCCTAATTATTGTTGTTTAGCTTTCCAACATAATACTATTATTATTTAGTCTTTTTAATGACCTAGTATGCTTAGTTTCATTTGTTTATATTCTAGTCTCCAATGATTCTATGTTTATATATTAGTTCTTGACTTGCATGTAAATATTTTGTACATGCGCATATTACCACATGCATATCATAGTTTTTTTTTATTATTTTATTGTGAGATAATGTATTTTATATATCATATTACTTACATGTATTTCAGTATATGATTAGTGTTAAATTTATTTCGTTTGATATTATTTAACGATTTAATGTGTTTTATATAACAATTTATTTTGTTTTATGTGAATGTCCTTTTTCAATTTATATTTGATTTGATTTTTTTAATGAGGGTGAATTTTTTTTATGAATAAGAAATAGATGAAATAGCTTTTCCGACAAAGGATTGCTACTGTCGAGATTTCTTTTCGTATTAAAGAATTCTCTTTTAATTAATAATTCAAAATAAATTAATAAAAGGATCATATTTTAATTTTATATTCAATTCAGGGTTTCTACTATTACGATAACGTGTAAACGACACAGTATCAATTTTAGGCATTGTGGGGGTGCTAATCCTTCCCTACGTGTAACCGACTCCTGAACCCGTTTTAATCGAATCTTTGGTAAATGCAGACTAGTCTTTTGTCTTTAAAAATGATTTTTCTTAAAATTGTTTTTAAAAGATATTTTTAGGTATTCGATCTACCTAACCCAAAGGTCGATGACGACTCTATCCAATTTATTCTGAATTAATCCAAAATCACCCGATTTTCCCAAATTTAAAATCGTAACTGTTTTTTTAAAAACAATTAAACGATTGTCCCGCCGGAAAACGGTTACGATAGCTTGGCGACTCTACTAGGGACTTTTTGAGAGTCAGCCTGTTAGTAGTTTACATATAGTCGTTGTGATGGAAATTATGAGTTTGAGTTTTTAGTTAATTTATGATTCATTTATTGAAGTTTGTAATTGCTTCATTTTTTTGTTATACTAACATTTTGATTTTTTGCTTTCAGATCTGTCAAAGTTTTTGTCGAGTAGTTTCATTTTCCTTTAGAGTCAAAGGGCTGAATGTTCCTCATCACACACATCACGTTCATTGGCATACCATAAGCTCACTTACGAGCTTTGCCTCTTTTAAGTTGAGGTGAAAGCTTAGCCTGCGTGAGATAAATTGTTTCTCCGCATGGGTTTTAGCAAGTAATCTTTGGGGTTCATATACCTTATGTCTACGCGAGATAAAATGTTTCTCCGCATGGACATAAGGGAATGTATCCTCTCGAATTGAACTCTATCCACATGAGCCTGTAATGGACCAGGATTGAGGGTTTGGTAGCCTAAGGGGGCACCGACATTAAGGACAATTCGAGTACCTTTTTTCCATTAGAGCCGAAACTATGCATATAGTGAGCCTCAGAACAGTTAATCTAGATATAGTCAGTAGGTACCCAAATTAAGTGTACACAAAGGAGAAGCGTTTCAGAACCTTTCTTTTTACTTTAAATAAAAGCATGTGAACTAGATACCATGCAGTTAGGATCATTTCATTGAAAATAATTATTTTGGGTAGAAAGCATGTTTGGGTAGGATCACTATCTAATAAAAGCATGATCGGGTAGATATCATGATTGGGTAGGTGTTATATTTATCTTTAAATAACATCTTTTAATTTTATTTGATTATTTCGCCCATACTAATTTATTTCTTTTGTGTATGCCATTTTTTCGTCCTTCTTTGCATTGTATCACTTTTACATCTATATTTGCATTTTTGCATTCTGCATGATCATCATGAATAAAATAAAGGTGTTGATTAAACCAAGTAATCATCAGATTAGAGGAGCGATCATTGAAATGGAAAAGAGTTTTCATAACAAGGAATAACTCAATCTAGAAGTTCAAGTTTAGTCTGAAGAAACACAAAGGGAGAAAGGAGACAATTTGCCTGGGAATTACGTATCACAGATAATCACAAATGTAAATGTCAATCTCAAGCAAGAATGATCTACAAGAGCTGATAGAGATTTTGGGATATTTAGAGAATAGTTACCAAAGAGAAATTTCACAAGAAACATGGTAACATGGTTTATGTCCTCTGTGTAAAGATAGGTTGTTTAAAGCTCTGGCCTGATGCCGAAATTCCGCATAAAAATGCTTCACTTTCAAAAGAAAAGATTTGACACCAATAATATAAGAGTAATGCTCTATTTGACTTCGAAAGCTTCCAGGTGGATAGAATTCATTCCAGACTTCCGAAAATCTAATCCTTTAAAAGCAAGCTTGTAAAGATTACAAGTAGAGTTGAAGATTGGATAGAAGAGCACATCCAATAAAAATGTGTATCTTTCCGTGACATTATCTCAAGAAGGTTTCTTTTACAAGGGTATAAATCTTACAACGACTATTTTGACATAAACCTTCTGATCCTTAAATAATTGTCGCAAATTGGAGGGAAGTCGATTCAGAGGCTGCATTTAAATACTCACCGTCTGGATTCAGAATCATTTCTGGAAAGAGGAGAAAGTTATTGGGATCAAGGCTGAGATCATGGAGCTAAATAAAAGGGTCGAACCGCATTTGTAGAATTGATCTTTCTTGTAAAGATGAAAGTTCTTTTGGAAGAATGAAACTCTTTCTAAGAATGATTACTTTTGGAAATCGATACCTTTTGCATTTGTATTTTGCACTGCAGTCATTCAAGTATTTTGCATAATCACTTATAAACATGTAATTAATCTGTGGAGGATTAGATGAAGTGGTCCTAACCACGTGATATCACATAGAAGCAAGAAGTTGAAATCAATACAGTGGGAGCTCGTTCAGCTGGTTGTAAGACTAAGCCTTTAAGGATGATCTGAGCCAATAGTCCTCATTCCTGAGGGGCATGATGCTAATGCAGTATACATTTACCACATAGGAAGCTCATGACATTCCTCCGAGAACTGTGAGGCACTAAAGCGTGAGATCCAGAACTTGATTGATTCAGGGGCATGGACAATTGAAGAAAATAGGGGCATTGCATCTACCATTAGCAATGAGAGCATTGTTTTGTTTGAACACGTTTTTGTTATGTCTTTCATATTTGTTTAATCTTTTAAACAACTGAACTTATGCTACCTTCTAAGGTTGAATAATTGAACAAATTTTAATCTTTAGTTCTTCGAATATAGAATGAATTAAGGATGAATGAATTAAGGATTCTTTTAATTCTTCAAGAATTATAGATTTTTGACATATGACAAGATTAGACTTTTCTTATCCTAAAAAAAATCCCTCGATTTTTTACCCAGAATAATTTACGGAGATACAAAGAGCTATACCGATACCTTTGAGTCAATAAAGTCACACCATCATCTTTTTAGACGTAAAACGAACATTTTTCTACCAAAAAAATTGGCAGACATTGAGTACAAAGTGTTCACTTGAGCATGAACCTTCCTACCATAAGACACAACTTCATCTCGCATCAATTTTCTGAAGTTGAGCCTAAATAATTGAGACATGCTGGGAGCAAGAAGAAGAAAAGGAGAATTACTTCGAAATAATTCTATCATGCATTAATTACATTGTTTTCATGTGAATAAAATTAATCCTGAAAATCTATCCCCCTGGGGATACCTCTTTTCAATGACTTCTTTGTATGAGATGATGAAAGGCTTTGTTTCATTTATCCATATATGTATATATATATATATATATATCCCTTGTTGTCCTCTTTTGAGCCTATAGTATTTTTTTCTTCTGATTCAACCCTAACCAAAAATCACCCTCTACATTGGGGGGCAAGGTGAAAAAATTTACTCACATAAGTGAAGACATCAATCTAGAGGAGATACCAAAATGTGAACTAAATGCCAAGTGCAAAGATCAAGTCAAAGTAATCCTGGAATTATCAACCCCTAGAACATAAAAAGAAGTACGAGGATTTCTGGGGAGGTTAAATTATATTGCCAGATTCATCTATCAAGTTAACTGAAAAGTGTGATCCAGTTTTCCAATTATTGAGAAAGAAAAACCCAGGAGAATGGGATGATAGTTGCCAAGAATGTTTTGATAAAATTAAGAGTTACTTGATTAATGCTCATGTTTTGATGCCACCAATCCCAAACAAACCATTGATATTATACTTGACTGTCTTTGAGAAGTCAATGGGATGTGTACTGGCACAACATGACGAGATTGGAAGAAGAGAACGAGCTATTTACTATCTCAGTAAGAAATTCACTGACTGTGAGAGTCGATATCCCTCAATTGAAAAGTTGTGTTGCACTTTGGTATGAACTACTAAGAGAGTGAGATAGTATTTTTTTTATCACACAACCTGGTTAATATCAAGACTAGATCCATTAAAATATTTTATGGAATCAACTGCTTTAACCGGAAGAATGGCAAGATGGCGAATGTTATCCGAATTTGACATAGTCTATCAGAAAGCAGTAAAAGGAGGTGATATTGCTGATTTTCTGGCAAGCTGAGCATTAGAAGACTATGAGCCAGTAAAATTTGATTTTCCAAATGAGTACTTAATGAGTATATTTGCAGCAGAAGAAGATGCTCCAAATAATTAGGCCTGAAAAATGAACTTTGATGGTGCCTCAAATGT